GTATAATATGAAGCTTACCTTTCACAGCAAAGGCAAGGTCATCCCCCCTTGGAGGACATGGAGGACATGGTGCTGCTGATGACTCTTGAGACATCTCAATCTACAGTGGCTTCAAAATTTATGCCTTCAGCTCTGCCTCCTCCCCATTCCCAAGCTTCAAACTCAAATATTCAGCTGCCTGCTTGTCTATAGATTCTCTTGGATGTATAACAGCATCTCAGCTCCAGCATAACCAAAAGATAACTCTTGATTTGCACCCAAATCTTGTTTTTGTTTTTTTTCCCCTTAGTCTTTACCACTTCCTTAAATTGGCAACACTTATTCAATTGCTCAAGCCAAAAACTTAGGAGGCACCCATAGTCTTTATTGTGGCTATCAATAGCAAAGGCAGCTATTGTTCAATTGAGGGTAACAGAGACCCCAAATAATTGTGCCTTAAAGAAACAGAAATCTACTTTGTGTATTTCTTCCTCCTGTAGAGAGGGAGGTAAGTAGTCCAGACTTCCTAGTGTGTCTAAACTCCATGAACTCCTTCGGGATACAGGCACCTTTCAGGTCATTGTTCCACCATCCCTGGATGTGGTCTACCTCTTCATGACACAATACGACAGCAAAAGCACTGGTCATTGCATCATGGGTCCAAATAGCAGGACCCCTGTAGGAAGGAGGCATGAAAAAGAAGGGGCAGAGAGCATATACTAGCTATCTTTTAAGCAAGGTAATTTTGCTAACACCTCATTGGCAAAACTTAGTCACATGACTACATCGCCTAACTATAAGACAGGCTGGGAGATGTAGTTTTTATTGCAGGCAGTCATGTGCTTAGCTAAAACTTGGAAGTTTTATTGCTATGGAATAATAGGCCAGATATTGGGGTGGGTGGGGGTGGCCAAAAGTTCCTGCCATATCTGGGTTGTATCTTTAGGCTACTGGGCCTCTGCCTGCTTTTTAACCCCAACTCCTTGACCATGTTCAACACAATGTAGCCATTCTGGTCCCTTCTAATGTCCTTTGAATACATCAACCTTATCCCTGCCTTAGAGCCTTTGTGCTGCCACTCTCTGCCCCTGAGATGCACCCTCCAGATTTGCACATGGTTGACTTCTCATTATTCCATTTTTGGCCCAAATGTCAGATCCTTACTGGGCATTCCCTTGACCACCCTTTCTAAGGCAGTGTTTCTGCCCCAACCAGCTTCGATCACATAACCCCATTTCATTTTCCTCAAAGTACTCCAGAGTCACTCTCTGAAAATATCTACCACTTGGTTTTGTGTGTGTGTGTCTCCCTGTTACAGTGAGTAGCTAGTCAGACATGAACAGGGCAGGAGAGCCCCCCACCAGGAATGTCAGGAGACCATCAGGTGATGGTCAGGTGGTTAACCGTCTGTCTAAAATAATAATTGGTCACAGCCAGCCCCAGAAAAAGGCGGTCTCCCTATAGAAAGGAAAAACCTGAAACCGATTATTAGTAGCTACCTGATAAGATCTCAGCAGTTGGGAGAGTGGGCTCACACACGAGCACTAAGGGGGAAAATGGTGGAGTTTAACTGGCATGTGGTCTCCTAGGGACATTGGGCTGGGAAGGGAAGAACACTGTAAGTGAGCATGGGTACAACTCCAGTAAACACACTGCGCATACTCCCCTCCCAAGTGCCGGCAGCCCACTCCAAGGGAAGAATCGAGAGAAGGAACGCAAGACCCTGGAAGTCTGCCAACATATAAAACCCCAAGTCAAAGATCAAATTGTGCACTTGCCATTCATGTTGCCCACTTGGCCCTCTTCCAAGTGTATTTTCCTGCCTTTTTTTTCTGCCGTAAAGCTTTTTAATATACTTTCATTCCTGCTCTAAAGCTTACCCCAGTCTCTCCTTCTGCCCCTTAGTTGAATTCTTTCTTCTGAGGAGGCAAAAATTGAGGTTGCTGCAGACCCCTACAGATTTGCTGCCAGTAACATATTTTGGTACCATGTGACTTGGATAACTTTCACCACTAATGATACGATCTAAGAAACATGAAATTATAGCATCAAACAGGAGCTTTCTGATCCCAACACCTGCCTGGAGTGAACTCCATCTGAAAAATCCTGGTCCATTAGCCCTGGTAGGGGCTTCTCAGATCTACTTGGCCAATGTTTCACAGGCATCAATTTATGGAATGGCCCCTGAATTTCAGGGAATATTTTCTCACTGGTTAAACTTTTAGTGCTGAAGTTATTTACATTAGACCCACCTAGACACAAATGGACAAACACCTTATTCTCCATGGTCAAGCCAAAACTGGGAATTTTTAATGAATCTATATATACATATAATTTTTTATGAGGATTTGTAGATTGTATTAAGATAATGAATATGAAAGAAAGCTTAATAAAAAGTTCCTAAGTCTACTGAGGAATGCAATGTGTGCTTACCTCATTATTTGTCTGTGCTGAGACGTATACACACTCATACGTAACTATGCAATTTTCATGTGTAATGGTCAACAATTTAGGTATTTTATAATTCCCACTCTCATCTGACAGATAAGAAAACAGGCCACCAACCTATTGTGGGGAGGCCGGGGGTGGGAGGGATAGCATTAGAAGATATACCTAATGTAAATGACGAGTTAATGGGTGCAGCACACCAACATGGCACATGTATACATATGTAACAAACCTGCACGTTGTGCACATGTACCCTAGACTTAATGTATAATTAAAAAAAAAGGCCACCAAATGCACACACGCATGTGTGTGTGTATGTATGAGATGTGTATATATGAGATGTGTATATATACGAGATGTATATGTATATGAGATGTATATATAAGATGCATGTGTATACATATATGTTAAATGTGTATGTTAAAATCTCTAAAAACCCCACACTGGCCCTGTCTCTTCCATAGATATGCAGTCATCCACACCAGCCCTAGGCTATGAGGCTTCTCTCTCCAGAGAAAGAAACGCTCCTTCTAGAGCAAAAAGGTCATTCATCAGATTTGGATATTGAAGTAGCATGAAAAGCCAGAATTTACCAAGAGAGAAAATAATTTCTCTATTTCCCATATATATATATGGAAGAGATAGGGTCAGTGTTGACAGGAGACGGATCTGAGCATGGACTTGGTGATGGGGAGTCCCAGGAACTGGCTTGATGAGGGGGAGACCAATTCTTTGGTGAACTGATTGCCCTGTCACCTGCTGAGTGGAGAGGGTAGAGACGGACACACGGGAATGGTGAGAAACTGACATTTTACAATAACCATGACACGGGGCTTGAGTGTTTGTTCACATTACACCTAGAAGTATCCAAAAATGCAGTGAATGGTAAGAAGGAGAGAAATCAACATTTAGTCCAATAAGTAATAAACACAACCTCTGGAAGGGACATGTCTCTCAGCTCCATACTCAGTGGTTCAGATTCCACGCCACTCCTGCTTCTCTCTAAGAATCAGCTGGGTGTATAGAAGAGAACTCAAGGGCCATCTTGGAGGCAGGGGAAGAAGGGCCTGGGTCGGGGATCCCCACAACCACCCTCAGCTCCACAGACTTGCTAGGAGGACTCACGGGACTCAGCATATAGTCACAGTCATGGCTATGATTTATTACAATGAACGGGTGCAAAATAAAATGAGTGAAAGGAAGAGACACACGGGGCAAAGCTGGAGGAGACCAGGTGCAATATTCCAAGAAGTCACACAGGGTATGCTTAGTTCATTTTGAAAGAGTTGTGACAACCTATGTGGAATGCTGTCTACTAGGGAAGTGCCACTAAGCCTAGGAGTCAGTCCAAGGATTTTACTGAGGGTAAGTCATATAAGCATCTGTGGCCTAGGATGTACCAAAAGTCCGGACTTCCAGAAGGAAGGCAGGTGTTCAGCATAAACCACATTTTTGTACAAGGAGTTCAGGTGCAGTGAGCTGCTCTTGTCCTTTCTGGGACTGCTGGGAACCGACCCCAAATCCAAGTTCATAGATGCCAGCCAAGGGCCAACCTTGCAAACAGTCTCAAACTGACTGTGTTTACTTTTTTCTGCCCGAGGCCTCAGAGCCACGTGTATCTCCCTCATCCCTAGACTGGAGGCCATTGAGTCACAATAGGGTCTAAGTCCTGCTGCAGGCCATTTGCTCTCTGGAGCCCTGTACATCCCGGGCAGGCCATGGGAAGCCAGGAGCGTTGTGGCAGGCCATCTAGCCAGCCAGGCACTTCCTTCCACCAATGGCTGGATGTGACCACATGGACACTTCTTTGCCGTGCTCTCCCCTCCACTGGTACACATGGGGAAGTTTAGCATGACCTCCTCACTATCTAGTAACCTAAGTGCCCCTTGGGTCCTATCATCCATCTGTGTTTGTTCTGAGGTGGGGGTTGGGAAGGGGAACAAGAACGCTGGCATTTGAATTGCTCCCTCTGCCTCTTTCTCTTTTCTCCTGCCCACAGAACGCTGGGGTGGGAATATATGGCTTCCCATGTTTCCAAAGCCACAACATCATATCTGGAGTAAAACTGGCACCTGGGCAGCCAGTTTTAGCTGTTGTTAATGTGTTAACACATTATATGACCCAATGGCCACATAACAGGACCTTGGGGAGTACAGAAAATCCTTTTTTCTCTTAGCAAATTCTGGCTTTTTATGCTACTTTTTTTTTTTTTTTTTTTTTTTTGAGACAGCATCTTGCTCTGTCACCCAGGTTGGAGTGCAGTGGCGCCATCTCAGTTCACCACAACCTCTGCCTCCAGGGTTCAGGCAATTCTCCTGCCTCAGCCTCCCAAGTAGCTGGGATCATGGGTGTGCACCACCATGCCCAGCTAAATTTTTTTTTTTTTTTTTTTTTTTTGTATTTTTAGTAGAGACAGGGTTTCACTATGTTGGCCAAGCTGGTCTCGAACTCCTGACCTCAGTTGATCCACCTGCCTTGGCCTCCCAAAGTGCTGGGTTTACAGGTATGAGCCACAGTGCCCAGCATCATGCTACTTTAATATCCAAATCTGATGAATGACCCTTTTGCTCTAGATGGAGCCTTCCTTACTGTGGAAAAAGAGGCCTCATTGCCTAGAGTTGGTGTGAATGACTGCAAAGGTGAGTGAAATTTCATATCCTCCAATTTCATTCCATGATTTTCATTCCAGAAATGATAGTTTGCATTTGCAAATGTGCTTTCATGAACTTTTGGTCATGATAACTCAGAGACTGAGGTAGACATGTCCATTATACAGACAAAAACACTGAGTCAAAGAGGGCTGATTAATGGTGGAGGTTGGGCTTGAATTTACATCTTCACACTTGACTCTAGTAAACTTCTTTCTTCATATTATTTGTTGCTAGCATCAGATCTTTATTGTCTCTTGTAATCTATGGGCAGGAGCAGATTCTGTAAAGAATATCTGTTCTTTCCTATCCACGAAATGACCTCCCAAATATATTCCCGTCCTAATCCATGGAACCTGTGATTATGTTACCTTGAATGGCAGAAGAGACTTTGCAGATGTGACCCAATTAAGGATTTTGAGATGGAGAGATTATCCTGGATTATCTGGGTAGACCTGATGTAATTACAAGTATCCTTGTAAAAGGGAAGCAGGAGGGAGGGTGGAGGGGGGAAAGAGAGAGAGGGGAAGAGAGGAAAAGAAGAGGAGAAGAGAAGAAGAGAGAGAGGAAGAGAGAGGCTATATGATGGCTTTGAAGATGGAGGATGGGGCCATGAGCCAAGTGATGCAAGTGACGGACCTCCAGAAGCTAGAAAAAGACTAGGAAACAGACCTTTTCCCCACAGCCTCTGGAGGGGAAGCAGCCTTGCTGACACCCTGATTTTAGCCCACTGAGACTGGTTTTGTACTTTGGAACTCCAGAACTGTAAAATGATACATTTGTGTTGTTTGAAGTCACTAAGTTTGTGGTAATTTGTTACAGCAGCAATAGCAAACTAATACATGCAGTATCCTCTCTTATTAACTGTAATAGAATTCATCTCATCCTCTCCAGGTAGTTGCCTCTTGGAGAAACCGCCTGGCTCCATTCTTGGTCTGGTGATGTGAGTGGGGCTGACCCCACTCATGGCTTCAGGGCAGAACATAGCCTCCAGGCCTGGGCATCAAGCATGCTGCGTTCTCTGGTCACAGTGGCTGGTCAGGGGTGAGCAAGGCCCTTCAGAAGGCAGCTCTAGACTCTTGCTGGAGGGGTGAGCAAGGCCCTTCAGAAGGCAACTCTAGACTCTTGCTGGAGCTATTAGGAAGGGGGTATGTCCTTTCTACAGTGGATACTGAGCTGAAGGGAAGCCTGGAGCAGGTGGGCAGCCACTTGAGAATGAAGACAACACAAAAGAAAGCTGAGCCAAGGACTGGAAAGAGAGGTATTCTCCTTAAGACACAGCTAGAAACCTGAATCAGGTCATGTCTAAAGAGAGCTTAAAGATCCCAATGACAGGAGCCAATCAAGTCTTTTTGTTTAAGCTAGTTGGAGTTGAAGTTCTGAACCCAGATATTTCTGACTAATAGTGTTAGGTTAGAAGTCACCTAAATTGGATTATCTGATGATTGATTTTGTGGAAGTTCAACACTATGGAGCACCATCCAGTACCACCCAAAAGAAGGCATGCTAGTACCCAAATGCCATTGATCTTACAATGAAAACCGGGGAGAAAATTTGAGTCCCTTTCCCCCAGAGGATGTTCCTGCCGAGAGTTACTACTTCAGTTCTTTTTACTTAACAAATCCTAACCCTTCTACATCAGTATATTGCTTCCTCGGGTTTCATCTCATGCAGCTATGGAGAACCAAGGAAAGGGAGTGACTGGCTGCAAGACCCATGTCAGCTGGTGGCCAGGCTGGGATAAGGACTCTGACCCTAAGCACTGTGTGCTTTCTGAAGCATGCTGCTTCGAGCTTTCTTGTGAGCATAGTCACTCCTGTTTCTGTGGCTCTGAAAATTCACCACCTGCTGTGTGCAATTAGTTCTTGTTGCTCTCACCTTGCCGATCAGCATTCTCAATTTCATTTTCGGAGCCTAGCTTTATCACTATCATAAAGAGATTATCTAACATCTTGAATATTAAAAATCTGACTCCACAGAGTAAGATTTGCATTCCAAGGTTATTGTTGTTTACCAGCACTCATCACTTGACCTGCTGTTTTTTGAGACACGTCACTCTGAAGGGCAAGAGAGAGCTCCCCACAGCCCACCTATGGAGATCACATTTTAAAGACTCTTCATTTGAGTTCCTAATACTGATGGCATTGATCTGTCACATCTCCATGAACCAAGCTCAACTGACAATTCTAGAATCAACCAGAACAGGAAGGGATGTTAAAGGTTACTTGGTCCAATCCTTGCATTTTCCAGTTCGAAAAGTGAGACTTGGAAATTCAAGTATGTATCAGTCAGAGTTCTTGCTTAGAGGCAAGTACTCTGCTAACTTAAGAGTATGAATGTTTTCAAACACCGCATGTTCTCACTCATAGGTGGGAACTGAACAATGAGATTACTTGGACTCGGGAAGGGGAACATCACACACCGGGGCCTATCATGGGGAGGGGGGAGGGGGGAGGGGGGAGGGATAGCATTGGGAGTTATACCTGATGTAAATGACGAGTTGATGGGTGCTGACGAGTTGATGGGTGCAGCACACCAACATGGCACAAGTATACATATGTAACAAACCTGCATGTTGTGCACATGTACCCTAGAACTTAAAGTATAATTAAAAAAAAAAAAAAAGAGTATGAATGTTTTAAAGGTAGCTTACAGAAATTCCAGGAGGGTCCGAGAAGCAGGTATGTGCCTATGTAACTGGAAACAAGAGCTACAGGGGCTGCCCCAGTAAATATATCACTATCACTGTCTGTAGTCCGTTGAATGGTGGCCATCAAAAACATATGTCTATATCTGGACCTATACATGTGACCTCTCATTTGGGAAAAGCATCTTTGCAGATGTAATTAATGTAAAGAGATGGTTCTGGATTATCTTAGTGGGCCCTAAATCAAATAACAAGTAATAAGCGTTTATAAGATACAGAAAGGGAGACAGTGCAGACACAGAGAAGGCCATGTGAAGACGGAGGCAGAGACTGGAGTGATATGGGCACAAGCCAGGGAACACTGGGAGCCACCAGAAGCTGAAAGAGGCAAATAAAGACTCTCCCCTAGAAAGTTCAGAGGGAGCACACAGTCCTGCCAACATCTTAATCTCAGACCTCTGGCCACCAGAACCATGAGAGATTACATTTCTGTTGTTGGTGTTTTGTAATAGCAGCCTGAACAGATTGATTCAGTACTTTGGGTAAATCACTTTGTGCAGTCTTGCCAACATGGTGAAACCCTGTCTCTACAAAAAGATACAAAAATTAGCCGGGTGTGGTGTCACGTGCCTGTAATCCCAGCTGCTCAGCAGGCTGAGGCAGGAGAATCACTTGAACCCTGGAGGCGGAGGTTGCAGTGAGCAAGAGAGGGCCATTGCACTCTAGCCTGGGCGACAGAGCAAATGCCATAGACTGGGTGACTCCAACAACAGACATTTATTCTCATCATGCTCTGGGAACTAGAAATCCAAGGTCAAGCTGCCAGCAGGGTTGGTTTCTGGTGAGGCCTGTAGACGGCTACCTTCTTGCTGTATCCTCACATGGCCGTTCCTCTGGGCAGGCACAAAGAATGACCTCTCTAGTGTCCCTTTCTCTTCTTACAAGGATGCCAATCCTATTGGATTAGGGTCCCAGCCTCATGACCTCACCTAACCTTAATTACCTCCTTAAAGGCCTTCTCTCCAAATACATTCACATTGTGGGTTAGGGCTTCAGCATATGATTTTCAGTCCATGACACTCCCACAGCTAGTTAGAGGCACGTTGAGATTTGAGCCTAGGCCTCCTGACTGCGAACCCACCTCTGAGTTCAACCCCCATAAGATTTGGGCAGGCTGGGTTACAAATGCATTTAGAAAAACAAAGGTATTTAGAAAATGGAATGATACCATGACTGGTCTTTGGGATCCATTTTAGCTTACTGCCTAGTAGCAAGGGGCCACAAAAGGGAAAATACCAATCTCCTTAGACATTGGTGGCCTAGCTATAGGTTCTGCCTCTCTGCCCATACCTCGTGATCTGTATATTCAGGGCTCTTAGCTGCAAGCAATAGAAAATATGATTTAGGCAAATAAGGAATTTATTGAAAGCATTGTGGGTAACACAGAGAAATGCTAAAAAGGCTGGAAAATGGCTTGAAAATCAGCAGGAAGGAAGGGAGGTCAGCAATAGCCAAGATCACAGCACACGGCCGGTCCGGTGAGGCCACCATGGCCACAGCCATTGGATTTGCTGTGGCCATCACAAAAGTGGTTCTCTACCAGCTCTGCTTCTTTGCACCACTAGCTCCTGTCTCAGCCCATGCCATAGGTGCCTCTGAGTGCTCTGACTTAGGTTTGTGTAGTCTTCACAACATCCTGAAAATATGTATCATGATTCCCATTTTACAGATGAGGAACCTGAGACTTAAATATGCTAGGTGACTGGCTGCAGGCAAATTGAGGCCTGCTTCACTCCAAAGCCCACTTTCCCAGTAATCACAGTCTGGTAACTCCATCCCATGGCTGGGATAAGAATTCCAAACCATATGTCAAAGAGGTTGTTCCAGTTGCTTCTACCAGCAACACTTGGGTGGCTCCTTTGCATTCCACCCTTTCCAGCCTCAAGGGAAATGTATTATCCAACAAACATCTTTGCTAATTTGATAAACTAAAATTGTGTCTTATTGTTTTGGTTTGCCTCTTTTTAATTATTGAGGTTGGATGCTGTATTAGTCTGTTTTCATACTGCTGATAAAGACATACCCAAGACTGTGAAGAAAAAGGGGTTTAATTGGACTTACAATTGCACATGGCTGGGGAGGCTTCAGAATCATGACAGGAGGTGAAAGGCACTGCTTACATGGCAGCAGCAAGAGAAAAATGAGGAAGAAGCAAAAGCAGAAACCCCCTGATGAGATCTCATCAGATCTCGTGGGACTTACTCACTACCACAAAAACAGTGTGGGGGAAACCGCCTCCATGATTCAAATGATCTCTCACTGGTCCCTCCCACAACATGTGGGAATTATGGGAGTACAATTCAGGATGAGATTTGGGTGGGGACACAGAGCCAAGCCATATTAGATGCTTCCTTATATTTTATTATCTGGTATATTTCCTTTGTGTGTGTGTGTGAAAAATCCTGTCCATTGTTTTTGTTCGTGTGCCTATTGGGATCTTGGTGGGGTTCTCTGGTTGTCTCTATGAGATCTTTATATATCACAAAGAAACATTTCTTCCTTTTATTTTAGATTCATGGAGTACCTGTGCAGGTTTGTTACATGAGTATATTGAGTGATGCTAAGGTTTTGGCCTCTAATGAACCTGTCGCCCAAGTAGTAGCCAGTAGGTAGTTTTTTGACCCTTGTTTCCCCCATCCCCTTCCCCACCTTGTGGAATCCCCATTGTCTACCGTTCCCATCTTTGTGTCCTTGTGTTTAGCTCCCATTTCTAATGGGACATGTGTGAGCATATCACAAAGAGGTTTAATCTTTTATCTTTCATTTTTCTTTTCTTTCTTTCTTTCTTTTTCTTTTTCTTTTTTTTTTTTTGAGACGGAGTCTCACTTCATTGTCCAGGCTGAAGTGCAGCGGTGCGATCTCGGCTCACTGTAACCTCCACCTCCCAGGTTCAAGCAATTCTCCTGCCTCAGTCTCCCAAGTAGCTGGAATTACAGGTGCCCCCCACCATGCCCAGCTAATTTTGTAGTTTTCACCATGTTGGTCATGGTGTTCTCAAACTCCTGACCTCAAGTGATCCACCCGCCTTGGCCTCCCAAAGTGCTGGGATTGCAGGCGTGAGCCACCATGCCTGGCCTATCTTTCATTTTTCAATGAATATTTTTGCCACATTTTTATGTGCTGTTTAACTTTGCTCCTTTTCCTTTGACATACAAAAGTTTTACATTTATGAACAAATATTTGACAAATATTTCTCAGGCTGCCCGCATAATGCAAGGGATTGTTTTAGGCAAAAAAAAAGAAAACTCTCTGGATACTTAGATAATTCCTGTTTTTGGACTCCCTGCTACCTCCCAGTTCTTTGGGCGAGCAGGTTTATAGAGAGCCCTTTCATCTTTAGAGAGAGGCCCAGAAACAACTCTGAGAGGCATGATTTTTCACTGCACTTTAGGGCAAAAAAAAAAAAAAAAAAAAGACAAAGGTGAGAATTGTTTGTGCCAATTATTTACACAGACTCATTTTATCCTCCTTTCTAAACAACTATTTGTAGGGAAGGAGAAGAAGAGGACAGGGGGCTTTAAAAGTCACAAGATTTGCCCTGCGGAAAGTCCCTGGAAGTGAGCAAGTCTGTGAGTGAGAAGGCAGGACCCAGCTGCCTGGGGGAAAAGCTCTTCATTAATTCCCAGTTTCCTATCCTGCACCCCCAAGCTTCTCCCAAGCTCCTTTAAAGGTTGATCTTGACAAGAAGCCTGGAGATGGTGCTTGCTAGACATGGGTAGAACATACAAATACAAGGCCAAGAGCTGTGGTGGTTCACACCTGTAATAAAAGCACTTTGGAAGGCCGAAGCAGGAGGATCGTTTGAGCCCAGGAGTTCAAGACCAGCCTGGGCAACACAGTGAGACCCCCATCTCTCCAAAAAATAATAATAAAAAAATTAGCCGGGTGTGGTGGCATGCACCTATTGTCTCAGCTCCTCACGAGGCTGAGGTAGGAGGAGCTTGAGACTGGGAGTTTGAGGCTACAGTGAGCCGTGTTTGCATCACTGCATTCAACGTGGGCAACAGAGTGAGACCCTGGATCCAAAAAAAAAAAAAAAAAAAAAAAAAAAAAAAAAAAAAAACATATGCTGGATACTCTCAGACTTTCAGAAGCATGGGCCTTGCTGCCTTACAACCTTAGTTCAAATCCCACCCCACCTCTGCCAATTAACAGATGTGTTAAGTGAGTGACTCCCTTAAGCTTTGTGAGGCTCAGTTTTGCCATCTGTGTGAGGGCATACTCATGCTGCCCTTGTGGGATGGATGAGGATCAGTGGTCATGTATGTAAAGTGCATAGCAGAGTCTGCCCACAGTGGGTATGCAATCAGAGGCCATTCTAACACACCAGGAAATTAATCGGCAAGTTCGTGTGGGTCATCGGTGTGTGGTCAACATTGCACCAAGTTCTGTGACAGCAGATTCTAATAGTCAGCTTGCGTGAGCTTATATGGTGTGGCCAAGGAGATAGGGCACAGCTCACAAAATGACTCTGCAACTGTATATGACAGTGTAAAAGTGCCAAATTATAGAGGAGTGGTTTAATTCTTATAAGCAGAAAGATAACTCTATGGCTTGAAATAATTAGGGAAAGCTCCATGGAAGAAGTAGGAGTTTAACTTGGGTGTTGATGATTTAAGAAACATATTCTTTGATTAGACAGAATATATTTCCATCTGAAAATGAAAATAGCTACATATTTTTCC